AATGGAGGGGATATAAAGGCACGAAGTGACTGGCTTACAAGTTTTCAAGACGGAGTTTAGTTTCAGAGGGGGCAGGGGAAGGTAGACTCTCTACTGAGTGGTTTTCAACCTATCAGGGAGCTCTGGTAGCGTAATGGTTATGAGTTGGGCTGCTAACCTCAAGGTCAGCATTTCGAAACTACCAGCTGTTCCACGGGAGAAAGATGAGATTTTCTGCTCCCATAAAGAGTTACAGCTTTGGAAACCCTATACAAAGTCGCTATGGGTTGGAACCAACTCCACAGCTTAAACAACAACACACGGGGCTGGTGAAAGGAGATAGTGATAAGACTTGTGGTTCAGTAGTGAATAAGTTATCAGGACTGAATTGTGAATGTTGCAAATGTAAAGGTAGAAATTTTGTAACAAAAAGAGGGGAGTGGTTGATCTTGCAGTCCAGGAGCAGCGGACCCTGGGACCATCAAGGGAGAAAAGTAGAGTACGGGACCCTATCCAGAGATGGAGACAGAGATGATGACATGGAGAGATGGAGCAGCTGGGGACTCTAGACTAATGACTAATGGAGAGGGGCTCTGTGCTGGTGGCCGAGGGCAGACTTGCAGGGTGTGCCCTTTGGGTGTTTGAATGATTGTATATTCCTGAGTGTTTTGGTGTACAACCAAAAAAAAAACCCCAGAGGGAATAGAAGCAAATACTGTTGAATGATGATACTTTGAGGGGATTATAATCATTGCAATGAAACAAAATATGATACGATGAGTGTAAAACAAATGTTCTTCCATGTAAACTATCACTCAATTCACAATAAAAACTTTAAAAAAAAGATAGGACACAGCATGAATGGGCTTCTTAGAGAGCTCAAGACCTCATTTTGCATGGACTGTGCCATGTTCTCCTTCTGTCCTTTAGGGGTTTCAGCAGCCAAGAAAGCTGCCCCTATTCTGTGTGATTCCTTCACTTTTGCTACCAATGGCCAAAAACATTGGGAACCTATAATATATGTATGGGTGTGGCTATTGCTGGTGCTCTCTGATCCCTCTGCAAAGCAGGGCTGCTGTTCAGCAGGAATTGGGTGCCCTAGTCTTAGTTTACAAAAAGAGGTCGGGGCTCAAGACACTGACCTGAACATTTGTTCTTCTGCTCCAGGTGCTCCCACAATTTGAAAGGTGGACATCACATTCCAGCCCTGTTACCGCATCTCACTATCTCATCTTCATTCTGTCCTTTTTTCTACTTTCAATGCATATTCCTCAGGTCGCTTGGCTCTAACACAATTCAAGTTTAAAGTAGAATGGTAAAAGGATCATCTGAATTCAGTAACTGCATTCTTGAAAATTTTCTATTAAGGGAATGATTTTTTTTTTTAATGTAAAAATAGTAAAAAGCTGTTGTCTGAAGCTGTTTACTGCATCATTCGTTAGTTTATCAGGGTAAATTATGGTGGGTCCACTTGAGGAAGTACCATTCAGATATTGGGTGTTTAAATAGAAAAATTCTGACTACATGTCAGGTAAAAGTACACACTTGTTTTGCATTTACATGAAAAATAACATTTTTGACCTTATGGTACACAGAAATAATGGTAGTTGCTAGGATATGAAGATAGAAATGATAGTTGAATTTATTTTCTGTTTTCACAAAACGTACATAATGTGATTGCTTTTATAATTCATGTTTAAAAGAGGAAGCCTGTGATAAAGATTCTCTGATGGAAATGAGAGAAAAGGAATGTACATGAAGTAATGAAGGTATTACAGCCATTCTTGTCATAGCCACCAGGGGGCGACATTAACTGAGAACAGCTTGATTGCCATCTAGGGTCAAAGAGAGACCAATGCAGGATATAGTGTGTAGCAGACTGCTTCCATCTACAGAATGTTTACAAGCCGTGCTTGTAATTCAGAGTGTTTATTTATTAATCTGCCTGTGTTGATAGATGGAGATTACCCCATTAAAATGAGTATCTGCCTCCTGTTTGGAGTGAAATTATACAGATATCTGCTTGATGGTGTGTTCCTGCATGAAGCCTATTTTCTATAACCTATTGACCAAGATTTAAAGTGGCAATGGACTGTATTCATTCTGCATCACCATTGCAGCTTGGTATCTTTGTTTTGGTCAGCTCTGTGGTTGTCATTTCAGCGAAGGGCTGGAAGACTAGGGAGATTCAGAAATAGACTAAATTGGGAGTTGTTAGATCATTTGATTTCAAGTAATAGTCTGGCCCTATTTTTTTTACTCAGTGGAGTCACTTGAAAATGAAACTCATAAGAGCAGAGGGCTGTTTTCCAGTGAAAGCACCACGCCTCAATGACAAACATCAGTTGGGAAGAAAGTGGAGCAGGTGTACAGGACACATACATCTGGGATCTCTGCCGGTGGATGAATCTTATCAAGAAATGAGACTAGCCTGAACTTTGCTCTGTCCACGAGCTTGCATTCTTGAGAAGAAAAACAGCTGTTTGCCAACCCCCCCTTTTTTTTTGCCAATGACCTTATTTAAGTTCTGATTTCACACACATCACAGAACATTTACTTATTAGTCTTTTTTTTCTTTTTTTTAAAAAATGAATTCTGTTGCTATCTACTCTTTCTGTGGTGCTGTAGGATAAGCACTGGACTGCTAACCACAAGTTCGGTTGTTCATACCCACCAGTCGCCCCTTGGAAATCCTACACAGAGTCCATTCGACAGTACTTAACAACACCACCTAAAAATGGGGTGTTGTGTGTCATGGAGTTGATTGTCGAATCATAGCACCCCCGTGTGACAGAGTAGACATGGTCCATAAGGTTTTCTAAGCTGTGGTCCATTGTGGGGGTTAAAACTGCCAACCATTTGAGTAACAGCTGAGGTCTCCTGTATCTAAAAATATAATAACTATGTATCACTTGGTAACGCTTTTCTACAAGTGTGATACCACCCAGTAACAAAAACTCCTTTTTTCAGCAGTATTAGAGGAAAAAAGAAGTTAGGTATCTAAATTCTATTTTAGAGTAGACTGATATAGGTTAATGCACTGGACCTCAGGTCGGCAGTTCAAACTCACCAGCCGCTCTTCAGAAATCCTATACATGGTCACTATGCGTCGGAACCAACTTGAAGGCATTTAACAACAACTGTGTCTACAGTAGGGGTTGGCAGAATTTTTCTGCAAAAGGCTAGCTAGTAAGTATTTTCAATTTTCCAGGCCAGTATTTTGGGCTTTGTGTGCCATATATAGTGTTCTCGTAGTACAAAAGCAGCAGTGGTCAATATGTTAAGCAAATGTGCATGACTGTGTAGCAATAAAGTTTTATTTATGGACACTGAAATTTGATTTTCTTCTAATTTTCATATTTCACAAAACATTTGTCTTTTGATTTTTTTTGTCAATTAATTTAAAATGTCAAAATCAATTTTAGGTCTCGAGCCATACAAAAATAGGTGGCAGGCCAGATTTGGTCTTAAGGCTATAGTTTGGATACCCTGCCCTGGGTGGATTCTTAAGTGACAGTTCTAAAGGATGTCACAGAGGTGTGATGCTTACAGAGTAGGTAAAAGGTGTTTCGAATCTGAGGTTGCTTCTGGATGTCTTTGTTTAGTAGAGAGGAGAGTGAGATGTAGTATAGAAGCCAGCAGTGAGGGAAGTCAAGGAAGGGAAGTATGTAGGGGCCAGAGCAAGTGAGCCATTAATGCCAGGAAATTCCTCTGTTTCTTTTCTTGTGTTTCCTGCAGATCTCATCTGAATGAAATTGTTAGCCAAGTAATATAAAACAATTCTAACGATCATTCCTGGTACCTGATTAACAAATTTTTTTTTTCCTAGGTGAGCTGTGGTAAATGGTGTCTGTAGGACTAGAACAAAATTCTAAATATTCTCCAGCACTAGAAGGGTCTGAAGCTAGTTTTGCTTCCGCAGGAATTAAGGAATATTGGGTTTATCTTAGTAGCTTGGCTAATGTTTGGCCAAAATTTCTGACACTTCCTGATTTTAAAGACTGTTCCCATTGTCCTTAAAACCTCAGACATTGGCTGCACGATTCCTATCTTTAAGAGTCAAAATTCTCTGAATGTGGTGCTGAAACCATCCAGTTTCTAGGAAAAGTCATCAGTCTTCACCCACTGCCTTATACTCAATACCTTCAGAGAAAACCAAACCCTCTGAACTCCTTACCTCTGCTCCCTGTCAAACCTCCTTCACAGGCTGTTTTGCCTCCTTCCCTCCACTCACCTTTCCTTGCCTGCCACCCTCACACCATTATGAAATCTCTTCTAATGATTGTCTGCTTCCCCAGTTGTCATCTGAGTCCAGTTGACCAGAGTACTGTATCTAAAACAGGGGTTGGCCGGCTTTTCTGAAAAGGACCAGACATGTCTCACAGGATTGGGCTTCACATAGTTTCTCCCTGCCAGTCTGGTTCTTGCTGCTGCAATCTCAAACTGGTCATCTTCTGCCTGTCCTACCCAGCTTTCTTCCCTGGCCTTGACCCTCTAACTGACGTCATTTCCCTAAACCTCTTCCTTTTCTTCCTAAATCCCGCTCTGCTTCCCTCTATGGGAATTTCTACTCTTCCTTAATTTGCCTAATCCTCTTCCACACATCTGTTCTCTTGTGTCCCAGCATCCTAGAATAAAAAACAGCATCATTTGGGAAAAGGTACTGTTATCAGGTTATATTAGCCATTTGTATTTTTTCCAGTTTGTAAGATTTCAATGAAATATCAAACATCAAATACTGGGAGATTCATTGAACAAGCTAATGCGCTTGTTAGTTGTTAATCTCCCTTAGTATAGAAATGGAGTCAGTGGATGATGCGAATAGTTAACACGCTGCTTTGAGTCTCCACAAAGGTACCTCAGAAGAAAGGCCTGGACGTCTATTTCCCAAAAATTAACTATTGAAAACCCACATGTCTGCTCTGACATACATGGGGTCACTGTGAGTCTGAATTGTCCCTACAGCAATGGTTTAGCAAAAGAATGTTTCAGTTTTCTTTTTATTTTCTTTACGTTTTCAGATTTCCCTTCTTTGACCAGAATTGACTTGCCGAGTCAAGAGCTAGCCCAAGAAGATTCTCTCTTACATGTCCAGTCTCCACAAGAAGCCTCTCCCACACCCGCTCATCTGACAAGTCATTCAAAGCCCAGTAATGCCTTATTGAAAGATACGCTTTCTCAGGAGTCTGAGTCCTCAGATCACTTGGAGAAACTATTTAAGAGTAAGCAAACGCGTACACAGTTTCCTGTTTATAAAGAAAAAGGCCAACCTCAGAGTTCACAGTTTTCCCCCAAACAAAAAATAGCTCATCTGCTCCTTGAAAATACGACTCCATTCCCAACAACAGTGACTGCTGTTCCTCCCAACACCACCTTCATTTCTCCAAAGCCTGCAGTTCTCCAAGCCACCATCTCTTCCCTGATACCTGCTGTGGCCCCCACATCTCCGCCTCTCACAACCATGACTTCTCAGCCGCCCACAGCCCTCTTCTCTACAATTTTCACACACTCTGCAGTTACACCCATGAATACAACAGTTGTGACTACAACAGCAGTTCCGACTACCTCCTTTCAGGCACCTAAAGACTTCAAAATCACATCAGGAAAGATGCCTTCTGCAGTAATCTCCAACTTAACTTTGAATACAGGGGATGCACACAATGTTGCTACACGTCCTTTGTCAAATGTGAATTCCTCTGCTGCAAATAAAGTGGCCACTCTGGAAACCGGGAAGGTGAGCCCAGGCAGTTCCTCACAGCGCAATGTTCTAAAAAGTCAGCCTGGTCTTCCCTTTGAAAAGTGGCTCCTCATTGGGACCCTGCTTTTTGGTGTCCTGTTCCTGGTCATAGGCCTTGCCCTCTTGGGTAGGATGCTCTCAGAATCCCTCCGCAGGAAACGTTACTCGCGACTAGATTATTTGATCAATGGGATCTACGTTGACATCTAAGGACTAAGCTAGATGTCTCTTAACTCATTTAGTAACCAGTAGCACAAACCCATGCTTTCTGCTAACTCACTGATCTTAGCAGGAGGTTGTGCTTTGAAGGCAAGTAAATCCCCCTAACACTATGTTTTTCAAGAGAGGGGTAAGGAGCCAAATTAGTCATATGGATGATCTGTTTCTAAAATAATTAGATTAAAAAAAAAAGCTCTATCTAAAGTAATAAAGTAAAATGCCATATAAAAAGAAAAACTCAACTGGCCATATGTAAGGGAAATGGTTGTGATTTCTAGGTTCATTAATATTTCTGGTTCCAGATAAAGTCAATTGTTTGTGACATCCTAATGGATTCACTTTCCTTTTATATGAATTCCAATAAAATTTTTTCCAGATGTATTTCCTTCCCATTAAATATTTGAATAAATCTTTTGTTACTCAGTAATGTTCTTATAGGTGACACGTCCAGCTGGATAACTTTCCATTTATTCCCATCAGCAAAATGATTAAATGATGAAAATATGTGTTCCAGGCCTAAAAACAAATAACCCCCTACTTTTAGCATCAATGAGCAAAGAGGTTCCTTTTGATGAATTCTCAAAGAATTCTAACCTTGGAGACAGTGATATTGATAAATAGCCAAATCCCTTTTGGGTCTGTTCAAGTTAACTATTTTTAAAAAGCAATATAATATTATATGAGTCCACTTATTTGAACTATCTAGAATAAGCAAATGTATCAAGATACTTACTAGTGTTACCATGGACTTGAGAGGAGGGAGAAATGGGGAATTATTGCTTAAGGGGTGCTGAGTTTCGGGGATTAGGAATAGCTTTTGGAACTAGGTAATGCTGATGGTTTCATAACATGGTGACTGTAATTAATGTCATTGAATTGCACACTTAAAAATAGTTAAAATGACCAAATGGTCAACAATTACTTTGAAACAAAGTTGAAAAGGTAAGGGAGTCAGGAAGCTAGATTAATGGAAATGGAGTGACCAGAACTGAAATAGTAGAATGTTCATGCATTGTGAAGAAGATGATCAATGTCACCAAACAATTTGTGTAAAAATTATTGAATGTGAGTCTAAACTAATGTGTAAACCTTCATCAAAACCACAATAAAATATTACTTTAAAAAAAAAAGTATGGACCTAGAAAGTAATCTTGAGCTGGCACCTGATAATTTAGTGAAATCAAACAAAACAAGTAATCTTGTGAATAAAAATAATTTTGTGGCGAAAAGGTTAAAATGACAAACTTGTTACATGTTTTATCAAAATAATTTTTTTTTAGTTTTAAGAATGTGTACCAAGTTTAAAATGTAAACATAATGTCTATAATGCTTAGATATTATGTTTACATTTTAAATTCAAGTTTAGCTTTGTTTCCAACAACATTGCCAATAATATATAAAAAACCTATTTCCATCTAGCCAAATTCTGACTCACAGCAACCCTGTAGAAACTAATCAGACTGCAATCTTTCTGTAAGCTGACTATTCCATCCTTGTCCCATGGAATGACTGGTGGTCGGCCATCAAGTACATAGCCACTGCACTAAGAGGATTCCTTAATAATATACAGCTCTTCAAATTATTATTAGATGGTTAACATGCTGTAATTTCTACTGGCTAGTTACTGAAGTTTGTGAGAAATGCTTATAAGAACGCTTGCCAGATTGCAATGAAACAATGGTGTAAAGCCAGTGTTTTTGCATGTGAACTATCACTCAGTTCACAGTAAAAACTTAAAAAAAAAAAAAAAAAAGTTTGCCATACATGTTACAGGTGGGGTAACTTACAAGTCTAGAAGACTGCCTAGGTTCAGTTAGGTATCATACATTTCTGGACTTGAGTTTACTTATCTACAAAGCACGAAGTTTGGTCCCTTTCAGATAAGCATCAGGGTTTAAACCAGAAACATGGAATTCAGATGAGAAGTTTCAGCAGTGATCAGTGGAGGGCAGTAGCTGGCTAACTGAGTGGAGCATGGAAGAAAGGGGAAAGACTGAAATAATTTTCTCCTTTTTCCTCTTCACCTCCTTCCCTCCCTTCCTTCTTCCTTCACTCCGCCCTCTCTCCTGGTTTACACTAAACTCATAAAGCACATTAAGAAGAAAGCCAGTCTATTGGAAATACTACTTTTCATACATTTTCCAACTTAATAGCTTGACATAAATCTCCAAGGAGTTTACATAAGCTTTAAGAAGGTTGGATAAATAAAACCTTGAATCAATTTAATTTAACAAGTATTTATTGAGTATTCGCATGTAGGCCAGAATCAGATTAGTAACCAAGCGTCTTGAAATGTATAAATTTCTCTTTAATAGATTTGGATCATGGAAGTAAGTCTTTTTGGGAGGTATTTATAAAAACTCTCTTCCTGGTTCTCTTACTGTTCTCCGCACACCTTTCTTGCAATGGAGAAACCCAAAGGAGACACCAGTAGTTTGGATGAGAGATGCCCCAAGCTATGGGAATGTAGATGGCAGGAGAGCCACTGATTTTAACACAAACTTCTGTGATGGAAAGAGCATCTCCTCTTGCATAGCTCTGTGCTTTCAGCCCCCTCACAGTGAAAGAGACTGCTGCAGGAGGGAAGACCTGCCTCTGATACTGTTCAGATTAACAAGTGACTGACTCAGCCGACCTCTCGGACCAAACCACACCAAACCCCTTACCATCAAGTTAGTTCTAACTCAAAATTGCCTTAGAAGGCTTTCCATGGCTGCAAATCTTTGCTGAAGCAGACTGCCACATCTTTCTCCCATGGATCAGCTGGTGGATTTGAACCACAAACTTTTTGGTTACTGAATGACTACTTTAACCACTGTGCTACCAGAGCTAACCCCTCAAGTGAATTCTGCAATTAATTAATTATGAGCCCCCTACTTTTGTTTGTAGGAGTCCTTGTGTGGCGCTGTGGGTTAATGTGCTGGACTGCAAGGTCGGTGGTTCAAGCTCACCAGCCGATCCTTAGAAACCCTATTCAGGGCCACTATAAGTCAGAACCAACTCAATGACACTTAACATCAATAACTGGTTTGTGAGATAGGAAGTTGGCAGTTTCTGAACAGGTGAGAAAACTAGAAACATCCCCCTACTCAAAAACACCTTTCCATGTTTTACCAACAAGAGTCTCACCTGTGTTAAAAGCGACTCTTAAAATAGCTACAGGAGCTCTGGTAGGTAGTGGTTACAAATCAGGCTGCTAATCTCACAGCAGCTCAAAACTACCAGCTGCTCCACGGGAGAAGGATGAGGCCTTCTGCTCATGTAAAGATTTACAGCCTCAGAAACCCTGTGCAGGTTCACTATGGGTCGGAACTGATTCCACAGAACACAACAACAACAACAAAATAGCTAATGACTTCTGAAGAACTAAGCCTATGCGTTTTTCACTCTGGAGTAGGAAATGCTGCCATATTCTTTTTTGTCTATTATAATTGGTGTGGCACTGTAGGATAAGCGCTGGATAGCAAAGTAGGTTTGAATTGCAAGGTCAGCAGTTCAAACCCAGCCACTTCTTGGAAAGCCTATATAGGGTCTCTATGAGTGGGAACTGTCTTTTCTTTGTTATAAAGGGGGTGGGAATGATCCTCGCTATAAAGATTTGTTCCTTCTTTTGAGCTACTGCATCCACAGGTGTAGGTCAAGTTCATCAAAATGTATCAGGTTACTCTTTTTTTCCTCTTCTTTCTTCGTCTAGTTGAGCTCTGATCATCCAGCCATTGAAACCAGGTCAAGTAGGTATTATCTGTAAGTGTGGGTGTTCTTATGCATATGCCTTCTCTTCTTATCAGCTGGACGCTTCATTTTCCACTCTAGTCCTAGTGGGAACTGTCTTGACGACACTTCACAACTCCTGACTAGAGTGAGGCTAAACTTGGAACTTGATTCCCAGACTCTACTGGGTACCGTGGATTTTCCACCCAACTGTCATCCCTACCCTCCACTTTTGCTTCATTTGATACAGGTTGGAAGTGCTAGATTCTCCCTTTTCCAGCCCCTCTTGCCATTATAGATGGGCCTGTAGTCCATTTCTGGTGAAAACAAAACCTCCTGGAGGCTTCTAGGAAAACTTCCTCCTTGATAAGCAAGGGTTGTACCAGGTGGAAAGACCTTTTGGCTCCATCCCCTTCCTTGTTCCTGGGCATGCTGGTCATGTCAGAACTTGACACTGGGAGCTACTGTAGCCATCCTAGCATGATGAGGGAGAATTCACTAACATGCTGAAAACTGAGAATGACAGAGCAAGATATGGGATGAATCTGGTCCTTGATGCCATGACTCCAACTCTGGAGCTGCCCGCCTCCAGTCTTGTTCTGTGATAATCTCTACTATTGGTGCCGCCTGTAGTCTCGTATTCCATCACAAATTAACAATAGCAAACACTTATAGGGTACTTACTATACGCCAGATATACTTTTATATATAGTAACTCATTCCATCCCTACAACAACTTTATGAAGAATGCTTACCCTTATTTTACAAATGAGGAAACGGAGGAACAGAGAGGTTTAAGTGATTTGCTTGAAATTGCTTGCCCAGGTAATCTGGCTCCAGAGCTCCGAGTCTTTATAGTTTTAGCAACGGAATGATACACAGTGTAACCAGAAAGAGATTTGCAGTAGACTAAACTTTTAAATGGTGCTGAACCAAATGGTACTTTGAGACCAAAGCATGGAAATTAAGAGACAGTGGTTTTTTTCTGGGAGGCTTCATCCACTTTCTCAGTCACCAAGTCCTGTTGGGTCACTGGCCACTTGGGCCAAAATTTATGGTCTCGTTAGAGGTGCACTGGAATCAAGGACACATCTTGTTTTCCCTGTGTTCATTCATCTCCTAATCATGTCACCACCCATTTTCCAAACAATGAGACATTTCGAAGTCATACTCTATCCTCCTCACCCTCAACCTCCATATTCAATGTTTACCACATAATATGTATTGTTGCTCAAAAATGCTGCTCACGTTCAGACGTTCCCACTGCTACTTCCTATTTG